TTTCTTGTAATATTTTCAGAATTTTTACAACTTTTTTCGATTAATTCCAATTTAATTTTTAGCTTCGTTCTTGTGTATTTACCTTCCTTTTTTTCGTTAATTATTCGAATATCGCGAGATAGCCCGGATCCTTTCTTGAGGAGGCCGGGGAACCCTTCGAACAAATAAATTCCGACAGGCTTTTCCGATTAAGCCGTCGGTGGCGATTTTTTTACGACAACAGATTGGCACGCCCAGTGGGACACCGACCTCTCGCGACTTTTACATGCAACTTCGAGAGAAAAACTGATACCGCCGACGACTATGGAGATGTCAAAAAACAAAAAACTCGTCGGCGATTCGTCATCGCACCCTGCGCAGGAAGCTGCCCCTCGCGATGAGGCCTCCGCTGCTGCTGGAAGGCCGGACCAGAACATTAGCCTTCCAGCCAGCGTCCTTCAGGAGCAGATCCGTGAGGAAATTCGGTCGTCCCTTCACGGATCCGCCCAAGAACTATCGAAATACATTAGCGACGTTCTGAAATCCGCCATTCGGAATGAGTTTGCGCTGCTTCTGGAGGAAGAAACTCGAAAAAGTAAGGTCCGGAAGGTCGATTCTAGCGAGCCAGAGATTTGGCCTCCCGCGGGCCTTACAACCAGCTTCGCAGCAGATCCGAAATCCCAGGCAGTTAAGTATGACCATATTACTCTGTTCGGTAGGGATACCGGATCTGGAGGACCTCCGATCACCATCCAGAAGATCGGAGAATCTCAAACGTCGGCCGGGCAGGCTTCCTTTGGGCCGCCTTCAACCGACGGATTTGGGACGACCTTCGGGTCAGTTCCATCAGTACCATATAAGCAACATAATCTGCTAATTTCTGGAAATACTTTCAGCACCCTAGTTACCACTCCAGGCCTTCGAAAAAACCCAATGGCCGGACAAGAGACTTCCAATGCATGGGGGGCAGGGCCGACAGCGATACCAGCACTTTCTTTGGTCCCAAAGCCTTCTGGAATGACTTGGGAACCAGGAGGATCAGTCCTAACACCATCCCAATACACTAGGGGGCAGGGAGCTGCTGGGGAAGGTCGATTTGCTGCTGGTTCCGGGCTGGAAAAAACCTACGAATATTCTGCCCAACCAGCCCCTGAAAATACACCATTGCAACAGGTTCCAATCTTTAGAGAACCTACGGAAGGCCCTCGAGCTCGTTTCTCACAATGGGGACCTACTCAACAAGCCTTCCCGCAGCCGGCGTTACACAATCCGCAGTCCATTCAGGCAGCTTCCGAACAGCCTGGGGGGCAGGCAGAGATGGTGCCGCTGCCACATCCTATCATAAATCTACAGGTAATCGAAAATGTGATTCATAGGATATATGACGATCGGAAAAGCAAGGATTCGATCGAGCAGTTCTTGGAAAAATTAAGGAGCGCTGAAACTAGACGCCAAGTTCGTGTACCAGAGGACCAGAGGGTGAATGTGGTAATAAGTAACATGAAGCACCAGCTGCATGACAGCTTGGCTCTTCAGGAATGTCACGACTTTCGGCAGCCGATGTCCAAAGCTGCGAAGGCCGAGCAGCTCTTCAAAGAAACTCAAATGGCCCGAAATCAAAAGTTTTGGAGTGGTAATCATTGCGTGTTTGCCCAAGAAGGGGTTGCCGAGGTTGACGAGGAGCAAGATGAGACCTTCTTGGCTGAAATTTCGCTGGGGAAGGCATATACATGCTTGGCTCTTAAGCCGCCTCGACGGAATGAGGTGAATTTGAAAGTATCTTACTCGTTCGACATCGCGAAAACGGAGCAGATTTTTGACTACTTGCTGAAAGATAACCAACTCCGCCTTAAAGAAGGTCACAAGATGCCGTCCGAAGAAGAACTGAATGGAAAATCATTTTGCAAGTGGCACAGGATGTATGGTCATCAAATTGGTAACTGTATCGCTTTCCAAAACGAGGTTCAGAAAGCAATCAAAGAAGGCCGCCTCAAGCTGGCCGAAAAACCTGATATGAAGATAGATACAGAGCCGTTCCCCGCACCGATAAATGTTGTCAGAATGCGTCCCGCCAGGCCCAGGAAAACTGGACCAGGGTTTAGGGCAGGCGGCAAGGGAACAGGCATTAAAACACCAGTGTTTGAGAGACTCGGAAGGGCAATCAAACCTCCGAGAAAAGGCTCGGTATGGGATAGGCTTTCCCCCACAAATACGGTCGCTGAAGTGAGTTTTGAAAAAGGAGGGGAAGTTTGGCGAGTCACGTCTATAGATCAAGTGGTGATCACACCCTACCAAACTCGATAGCCTGGGAAGGCTCCAGACGACGGAAGTTGGACACAAAATCAGAAGAATCGGTCGAACCAACTCCCTACCAGAACTCAAAAACGGAGGGCCCAACGACAGCGTTTAGCCGCTCGTCTTGAGCAGCAGGCTGGAAGGCAGCAAAGACCTCTCCATGCAAGAGAGTCTGACATGCAACACCAACAATCTAGAGGGAGAAGTACGGAAAGATTAGATTCAGATCGTCGAGACTTGCGTCATCACATTCAGACCCAGGAAAGAATGGAGGCCAAAAGGAGTCTTCTCAAGGGTCGAATTTCCCCAAAAGACCAGCTTCACGGTGACGATTAGGGAAAATCCAATTCCTAAAGATGAACCTAAGATTGACGCCCTCATATGCGACGAGGCTGCGGAAGTGGTTACAGACATTATCGCCGACGACGAAGATCTGAAACAGCATAAAACCGACCTTGAGATTGGGACCGTGGGCGTATTACCTCAGGAATTTAAAGCACCTTCGTATCAGCCTGATTTCCTCCAGGGGGATATCTTGCTGGAAGAAGTCGGTCCATTGTATTGGGCAGAACAAGAACAAAACGCTTTAGGAAAATTTCCAGACCCAGTGGTTTTCCAGAAATTGTCTGACGAGGATACACGGCACCTTAAACCGTTGTTCCTTACTGTTTACCTCGACGGAAAAACAGTCAACAAGGTTCTGATTGATGGAGGGGCATCAGTCAACATCATGACCCTGCCCACCTTGAGGAAAATAGGAAAAACTTGAAACGATCTAATTCCAACGTCATTACGAACGACCGACTTCACTGGAAATGCCCATACGGCTGCGGGCGTTGTAGTGGCAAAGGTGACGGTTGGAACCAAAACAGATCAAATGGCCTTCTTTGTTGTCGAGGGAAGGCCGACCTACTCAGCCATTCTTGGGAGGGACTGGATTCATACTACTCAATGTGTGCCGTCAACTCTCCACCAGAAAATTATGTTCTGGAATGGGAACCAAGTCAAAACAGTGGCGGCCGAAACCGATCCTAACATGGAGGTACATTCGGCCGAAGCTGTGTATTATTCTCCGGAAGTCTACCTGCTCTCTATGATGCTGGAGGACGCAGAGAGATGGAAGGAGTGTAAGTTAACCCTAAAAGGGTTTGAAATCACAATAGAGGCCGACGAACGGCCCGACGACACGGGCAGTCGTCATTTCTGACGACCTAATCATACGAGAGTGGGAGGCAAGGGTAGGCAGATCAGGTTGTCCATTTATACAAGGAAGCGATCTTGCCGCCCGTTTGCCTGATAAGCAGGCAGGAATGGTTCCCGAACCGCTTGCGTGCGATCAAAATGAAGAAAACGTTCAGCCGCCGATCCAGAGGGCTACCCCTTCTTTCGAAGCTCAAGATCTTCTGGAAGAGCTTAACCTAGGAAGTGATGCAGCGCCGCGGATGACAAGGATTAGCACCTTACTAGACGGCAGCGCGAAAGAGAAACTGGTCGCTCTGATCTGTGAATTCAGAGACTGTTTCGCATGGGACTACCATGAAATGCCAGGGTTGTCAAGAAGGCTGGTGGAGCACCGATTACCCATCAAGAATTCATGCCGACCCCTTAAGCAGGCCCCTAGGTGTTTCAACCTAGAACTATTGCCGACGGTAAAAGAGGAGGTCGAAAAACTTCTCAAGGCTAATTTCATTCGAACATGCAGGTATCTAGAATGGATCTCCAATATCGTGCCCGTGCCGAAGAAGAATGAAAAGATCGGCATTTGCATTGATTTCCGGAACCTCAACCTAGCAACTCCAAAAGACGAGTATGTAATGCCAATCGCCGATATGCTCGTAGATTGTACGGCGGGATATGAAATCTTATCATTCATGGATGGATACTCGGGATACAATCAAATATCCTTGGCCGAAGAAGACACTCATAAAATGGCCTTCCGTTGCCCCGGGGCAATCGGAATCTTTGAATGGATAGTCATGCCTTTTGGGTTAAAGAACGCCGGAGCCACTTACCGAAGGGCGATGAACACCATTTTTCATGACCTGATTGGCACTAGCATGGAGGTGTATATAGATGATGTAGTCGTGAAGTCCCGAGCCTTCGCCGATCATCTACTGGATCTTCGCAGAGTCTTCCTGCGAATGAGGCAGCATGACCTCAAGATGAACCCGGCCAAATGCGCCTTCGGGGTACAAGCAGGAAATTTCTTGGGGTTCTTGGTGCATCAAAGGGGTATCGAGATTGATAAAAACAAGGCTAAGGCTGTCCAAGACCTCGGGTCTCTTCACAATATTAAGGAATTACAAAGCCTGATGGGAAAAATCAATTTCTTGAGGAGATTCATCGCCAACGCCGCTGGCAAGATGGAAAGCTTTTTCTACATTATTGCGAGGGAGGAAAGACGCATTCGAATGGGGAGATGCCCAGCAGCAGGCCCTGGACCAGATCAAGCTGGCGTTAACATCTCCGCCGGTGTTGATGCTGCCGATCCGTGGAAAAGGACTAAAGCTGTATATAGCCGCAACAGACGATACGATAGGTTGTCTTCTAGCGCAGGATGATAACGAAGGCCAGTCCTTCAAGGCCGTTTGGTTAAATGGGCACTAGAATTAACATCATTCTCTCTAACATATCAGCCCCTCAAGGCTGTCAAAGGACAGGCCATTGCCGATTTTTTAGCCGAACATCCAGGGATGGTTTAGGCCACAGCGATAGATTATGTAGGGATGGAACCTTGGACGGTAGCTTTCGACGGTTTTAGCACCATGGGGGCAGCCGGAGCAGGCGTGATAATCCATAACCCAGAAGGAGAGGTGTGGCGTTTTGCGCACCAACTCTCGCAAGGCGTTACCAATAACCAGGCTGAATATGAAGCTTTATTGTTGGCTTTACGCTTCCTCGTGGCCCGAAAAGTTAGGAAGGTAGTCATCCGCGGGGATTCTCAATTAGTTGTCCGACAGGCCCTTGAAGAATTCAAGTGTAAAGATCCGCAGCTTCAGATCTTTCTTCGCGAAGTCCATAGTCTTCTACAACAACTTACAGACGTAGTTTTAGAAGATATACCCCGAGGTGAAAATGATGAAGCGAACAACTTGGCGCAGTGTGTGTCCGGTTTCAGAAGGAGACACATACCTCGGGAAGGCGAATGCTCACAGGTCGATAGGCCAAGTCTGGATTGGTGAACCCCCTTGCTGGAAGGGTTAGCCGACCCCGGAAGGCCACGATAAAAGCCGAACGATATCAACTCATGAAATACACTCAAATCAATGGGGAACTGTATCGACGAAGGTTGGACGGGACGCTGGCGCGCTGCCTAGGGCACGAAGAAGCACGAAAGGCCATGGCAAAAGTCCACGAAGGCATCGGAGGAGCACATAGAGCTGGACCTACGATGAGATGGACGATACTGCGCTATGGCTATTTTTGGCCGCGAATATCGTAGGATTGCATCGATTATGCACGGGGATGTCCGGCCTGTCAACGCCATGGACCGCTCCGACAAATCCCCGTAGAGGAACTCCATTCGATCGTTAAGCTTTGGCCCTTCCTGGGTTGGGCAATAGACGTGATTGGAAAGATACATCCTTCGTCTTCTAAAGGGCATTCGTTTATTCTCGTGGCCACCGACTACTTCACGAAATGGGCGGAAGCCATACCACTCGTCAAAGTGCAGCAGAGCCACATTATACGCTTCATCAAGGTGAATACCATCCATAGATTCGGCATCCCCAAGACTATTACTGCCGATCAGGGTACAACATTCATGGGGACGAAGGTCAAGGCGTTTGTGGCTCAATATGGAATTCAATTGCTCCATTCTTTCCCCTACTACCCTCAAGCTAACGGACAGGCTGAAGCGACGAATAAGGCATTGATCTCAATTATCAGAAAGGGGCTGAAAGACAATGCCAAGAAGATGGGACAACACGCGCGGACCAAGATTCAGAAGGTTACAAAACTATCTGGAGACCAAATTGATTTTTTACCGAGATAGTTTTGTGGGGGGCATTTGTACACTCCAAAACTCAACCATAAGGCCCAATCCATGTTGGGAGCCCGAGGTAGGGAGAAACACGGCCCACAAGAAGGCCCAAATCAGTGGGATACTTAGTCAAAGGAGAAACGGATAAAGCATAATTTGAAAGTGAGAAGAATTTGGGGGAGGTTGGAGAAAAATAAGGAAGTAAATCTTATCTGAACAAGGTTTAGAGAATAAAAGGGAAAAGAAGACGCCGTGAGAGGGAATCTCATCTTCTTCAACATTAATTTTTTCTCTGCATTATTTTATTGTAATATTTTCAGAATTTTTACAACTTTCTTCGATTAATTCCAATTTAATTTTTAGCTTCGCTCTTGTGTATTTACCTTCCTTTTTTTCGTTAATTATTCGAATATCGCGAGATAGCCCGGATCCTTTCTTGAGGAGGCCGGGGAACCCTTCGAACAAATAAATTCCGACAGGCTTTTTCGATTAAGCCGTCGGTGGCGATTTTTTTACGACAACAATTCCTCTTCTCTATTTTTATTTATTTTATTTTATTTTATTTTATTTTATTTTTGAGGCTGCAAGTGTTAGTGCCAGATTGAGCCTAGGTGCAAATATTTCTCCCATTTTCTTTTTTTGTTTGAAATTTGTTGTATTTCAAAGAGAACCAGTTAAAGAAATTTTTAATTAAAAAAAAATATTTTTGATTTCAAATACAACTTCTCTATTTCTTTAACGAGGCTGATAAGTGTTAATGCTAGTGAGTGAGAGTAGGTACAAGTATTTCTAGCATTTTTTTTGTTTCAAAATTTGTTTTTATTTCAAAGAGAACTAGTAAAATAATTTTTCATTTCTAAAAAAATTTTGATTTAAAATTCCTCCTCTATTTTTATTTCAAATGAAAATTTCAAATAGCCAATCATAATGTACACCACCACTCATCATATACAATATGTAACTCATTCATTCAAACCACACACTCAAACATATACAACACATTGATCAAACCATATACTCAAACATATACAACACATTGATCAAACCATACACTCAAACATATACAACACATTTAGCCAAATTAAAGGTTCCCTTGTATTCAAAATAATAGATGGGTTGCAATTTGGAAAATCAGTATTGTAGAATTTACTTGGTAAACAACACCCAACAAAATAGAAAAATTTGCATCAGTCGTTTGCTGAAATTGACATTAATTAAAACGATTAGCGATTCTTAGCTAAAAAATATTACCTGCCCATATCATAGAGCATTCGTATTGGGATAATACAAAGTTCGATCTCGAATTCTGGTAGAAAATATCGAGATAAAGTGAACTTAGGGAATAAAATGAGTATGTAGACTACAATTTCTTGCAAAGATAAAACACTACGTATCTATTCATCTTGTTTTGATCTGTTATTATTATCTCCGGACCAATCCATAGATCAAAAGTAACTTTTCATTCAAATTGAACAGACACAATGGTTCAATTTAAATTTAAATTTTAAATGAATTGATGTATTGATTCAATTCAAACAAAAGTTTGAATTCATAATTTAAATATTATTAGACACAGATTCATAAATAAACACAATTTTTTAAATTAAAATTCTAGGAATATTCCAAAATAGCCCGTACCACTTAGTCATGCCCATTACTAAGCTATTACATTATGTCCCATAAATTTAATTACAGAACTTCCAGACTTGTAGACGGAAACTTAGTCATGCCCATGACTAAGGCCGTATCAACAATATGTCCCAGAATTTGTGTTACATGTCAAAATCACTCGAAATTAGCTACTTCAAGTGCGCACTCCACGCATCCCATCCCTAAGTTCACTTAATCCCAACATTCATTGGTCTCGAATAAATCCAATTACACTAAAATTACCAACTAACATGTATGAATGGTGCAGGTGAAACTAATACTGTGTTTTCGCATTTGCTTAGCATCTGTTAATACTACTTTTAATTTCCATCCCGCTTTTACAGCTAAAAGGATTCTGTTTTTGCTTTCTGAAATTTCAAGATTTCAGCTCAATTAAAAAACTGCATTATGACAATGCCATATATATTTTTGGAGTCGAAAAAACATAATGTGGCTGCATTAGTTAGTTTCCACGTTTCACAAATTGGTTGTTTCAAATTCTGATAACGGATTTCTATTTTCAAAATCCCTGGTTTTGAATATGCCACATTCTTGCATTTTGTTGTAGTAAAAAATACATAATGGTAGGTGCTGTGTTCTACACTAAAGTAGGTTAGAAGACAAATGGTGATGATTTCTCTGCTTCAATTCCCTGCAGTCGAGATTGCCGGTAACAGACCAAGTCAGGACGGCAAACGGGAGGCAGCCAGTGTACGACAAGTCCTATGTCTGTTGCTACCAGAGGATACGGGCCCAACAGCCCCAAGATCTAAGGAATCTTGTAGAGGTACCGGAGCAGGAATGATCTCAGGATTATGTGTGCCTGCAGCGCAGCCTATGAAGCAATGTATATATAGCAATGTTAACAATTGAGTAATTCCTTAAGAAAATTATCTTATTTTCCAAAATTAATTTAAGCTGCTTCAAACTTTCATATGGGATGAGATCCTCAGCCCGTGCAACTTTGTCCTCCTGCCAAATCAATTAAATGGTGATAAGTGTTATTTATTTTAATTTAACATTAAACCTTCTATTTTTTTTTTCTCCATATTTTAATTATTCTGTCTCTATTATTGTTAATATTTTTAAATTAAATATTTATTTTTAATTTATTATACTATACGTAAAAATCAATTTTACATTAAACATCTATTTATTTTCATCGTATCACTGTTCAAATTAAAAAAAAAAAATCAATTTAAATCCCAAACATAAAATCCAAACCCTCCAAACAAAGACATATATTTGGAAAATGGTGTGCTGCTAACAGTGTTGAAATATAATATTATATTAACAATATACATAATATTTTTTCTTTTTATAATTTAAAGTAAAAGTATTTCATGTTGAATAAAAGTTTGTAAGTTTTTTTTTCAAGGTGAATTGGTTGCCCCAACTTTTTCAACAAACGAACGGAGAAAGCCTGTTTCTCTGAGCTAGGATCACATGTCCGGAAAACAATCCTAGCAGTCCTGCCACCACGCTGCAGAACGTACGCTGTTGAGAGGTTCCATATTGCCGAGACGGAAAAGATTCTTCCAGTGTCTCCGGTTCCAGAAGTGCATGATAAATACCGCCAAAGCCTAATACTGCTGTGACAAATTGTCTTCTAAAAAGGGAAATATCGAATGAAGTGATCCTAAATTCTGAAATTTGACTATTTTTTCCCTTCTAGACAAGATCCACTAATTCGGAACTTAATTGTTCTATTTCCAAACTTCACCTTAAAAAAAATCAAATAGATGCGAAATTAAATTCGAGCCTCGCGTAGCACGCGATTTCCTTGAAGTGAATTCGGCCTTCCACCGATAGCCTCCTAGGATAGAACGAATTGTGAACGGAATAAAAAATTCCGCAAACCGAACTAGAATGGAAGGGAAATTTTCAGAATAAATTTTTAGAATTGATATTCCGTCTTCCATCCCAAAAAGGGAGGAAAATATAATATATATTATATATTCCGAAAAAAACCGCCCACGTCTACTGCACGTTGCATTCAGTTGCAACAAACTATTTATTTGATTATTTATTTATTCATTTTTCAAATAAAATAAATTAATCAAATAAAACGTGGGACAAATAATTTATTCTTCTTTAGCCTATTTAATTAAATACCCAAAAGGATTTCCTTTGAACTTTCCCTTGAACAATTGCCCAGTGGACACGTTTTGCTTGAACTGTTCAATTTCTTAGTAAATGGGCTACGTACCAACACAAACTTCGTGGGTCTAATTCGGTTCTCATTGTTTGGTCCGTTTTGGCCAAGGAACCCGTCATGGTTCTGTGAGAGTTTCTAAAGAACTGAGCCTGGACAGTTCTCCTTTGAAGCGGTCTCATTTCTCTCTCACATAAGTGATCTCTCTACTCTGTCACTATTAGTTAACAGGAATGGGTTGAAGCTTTTATCCCCACAGTACGCACATAAGTCTTATAGGTAGGTTGTTCCATTGAACCTAGTTCTTGGGATCTCCAATCTTTCTAGGTTGGGTTTTCTTGTAAACTGCATTACGGTTTAAACATTTGGTTGGCGGATCCGGTAGGTTATCTTTT